AAATGCATGTTCAGTGAATGACGAAACTACCTACAGGAGGCCGTGTTATGTATGATGCGTCTGGTAGAAGTGATAAATGATATATGAATAACGGCACAAGAAGGGCATCAGCCCACATGACCGTAATTCTCAGAAGAAAATGCACCTGATACCATCCTCAGCGCGCCCAACCGATGTACCGTCTTGAAAGCTTCTAGAATAATAATGTTTCCCAGGGCTGGAATTGAACAGAAGCGAACACTTCCACATGACACACTTGTTTGACTCCGAGGATTTTAACACCCAAGTTGTAGTCTGACCAATACACTCCCAAAAACAGGAAACATGTCAGGAAGAACAGCCACTGCTGATGGCGGCCATGGTTCCTGAATGACGTATTTTCAAATATGAAGTTCAGAAGCTGGTTCCGTGCGAATAGATGTGCAACAGAATCAATGATTTCGTCCTGTGATCGCTTCATTTATTAACTGATTCTCTGTGACGCTTGTGATGAAGTCCTGAACCCAGTTTCCTGTAGTATATAATGGATGTTTATAACAGGGAAGTCGAAGTCTTCATGGAAGGTAATCATACTTGGGGTTTCTCAGAGGGAACATAATGGTCCAGGTTGCATCTTCCGTCATGTATTAGGCCATCTTTATGCCACTTGGCGGTGTGGCCCGCACTTTCATGAAGATACTGCCTTCTTGCCTCATCTTACTCCTCCTCGTGATTTGGGTCTCCTCATCTTGTTCAGATCAAATAAACCACAGGGGAAGGAATTCTTGATACCTCCATCGATTGCCTTTGATATGGGTAGTAGGAATTCTTCTTGAAGTTTACAACACACAAGTCAGAATTGAACACACCCCGACAAATATGGAAACAGTACAAATATCGATTATAAGGTAAACCCATACGGAAATGGGTATGGATGAAACTATATTCCGAAATTCTCAGTGTGAATAACCTGCATGGATGCCCTTGATTGATGACCCGCTTACCGTAAACACACCCTCCGGCATGTCATGAACGACTTTGTAGGAGTAGATGTCGTTAAATGTAAACTACCGGGCAAAAGAAGCGTATCACCTTGTTCAGTAGCTCCATAAAAAGAAACAAAGACAGGTGTTAACCATGTGATAATTATTTTAATGAAAGAAATCATTTTTCGAGGTCCGTACATAATTGCAATCCTATATCGATTGCGCACTTTCTTAGCGAAAGAGACATGGTGGGTCAAAATTAAAAAAATACATTAACACGAGTCAATCAGAGTCCACTCAAAAGGTCCTTATTTGCATGTGTGACCATCCCCTGCATCAATGCACGCCAATACAATAGTTGTTTAATCTAATACAATAGCTGTATTGTTCTAGGAGATCATATGTCACTGTAAATAATCATTATCGTAATTTTCAGTAACTTGTAACTGGTAAGTGTGCCATCACCTTAATGTTTCATTTTTATTGAATCTTTTGAAGCAGCGGTTTTGGTAGGGACTTTTCTGTTATGAAAGTACGAGATTATGTTATGTAAAAACTGATCTTAAAATGCAGAGGATTTCGTGCTTCAAATATTAAACGCTACAAGCCAATAATCACTGCATATTGTGTAACGATATATAAATATAACACTAGAACCAACTAAAAACAATGTTGTGGAGAGACCCTATAAGTACTGAAAACAAGGCTATTATAACTCTAACACTGCTGACACTCTACAATGAAGGAGTCGTATCCTTACGAGTACGGCGATAGGTCACCCGAAAGCAGAAGTGTGGAAGAAGCCATGCCCACATTGAATACCAAGAAGGACTTCCTGTACTATGCCAGGCATTCTACCCTTCCACGCCTTCATTTACAACGTAGAGACCTCGTCATCCCCGACAGCTACCAGACGACTGTTACCGGTCAACAGTTCCTGATCATCAATGATGGTGACGACAGGATTCTAGGCTTGAACATCTGTGCGCTGCTGAAACAGTCTATGGTGATGGGAGTGAGTTGTGTGCGAAATGCGACGCCATAGACCACTGGGCCACCTGTGCTCCCTCTGGGGCATTTTACGTAACTCACAGACTGATTTTTCAGCTCTACACGCCATGGTTTGAGACCCGATGTTCCCGCTTGTCATCATTTTACTGCCAGACAAGAAGACGACTACTTACGAGAGAGCTTTAAGCCTGGTAAAGGAAGCTGCCGCCACCCGAGGATATCAGTTGCTCACCTCAAACAATTTGTTTGTTTGTTGTTTAACGACGCCGCACTCAGCAATATTCCGGCTATATAAGGTCGGTCTGTAAATAATCGAGTCTGGACCAGACAAGCCAGTGATTGACATCATGGGCATCGATCCACGCAATTGGGATACGATGACATGCATCAACTAGCTTAGCAGCCTGACCACCCGATCCCGTTAGTCGTCTCTTACGACAAGCATATATCCAATATCCCGTGCATTTCCTTACAAGGCGCCTTTATAGAAAACATGGTCAGGCGCGGTGATTTGACTGACACGTGACATAGCTGAAATACTGCCATGTTAGACGACAGGCTTCCGTTGTAATGTGCTTAAAATGTTAAAGGGCACCAATATCCCGTGCATTTCCTTACAAGGCATCTTTGGAGGATGGGTGGTCAGACTCTGCGATTCTTCTGGACCGCCTCTGTGGTCTAGTGGTAGAGCGTCCGTCCGGAGAGCTGAATTTCCGGGGGTCGATTCCCGGCCGCATCATACCAAAAGACGTTAAAAGATGGTACTTGTTGCGACCCTTTCCGGATTCTTTGCTATCTGCTTTGCTCGGCATACATGTTAATGGTCTACAACAAGGACTGGTCGCCTCGGAGTCAGTATACTGTGTCTAAGTGGGGTATTAATGTTTAACTGCGGCATGGTATCTCAAAGGGATAGCACTACAAAATCGGCATCTGTCCGGACAAGTACAAGCAGCCACACACACACACACACACGTCGCTCATGGACGCGACTTTAAACCTCATTTCACCTCACCTCACATGTGATTTGACTGACGCGTGACTTTGCTGAAATACTGCTTTGTTAGGCAACAGGTTTCCGTTGTTATATGCTGAAAACATTAATATTAAATTTCTTTAATCTCGTTTGATTGTATGATTATTGAACGTTCATTATACACCCACGTTAAAGCGTACTCCAGTTGATCCAGACTCTAAAACAACAACACATGAGTTATCGGCCTTTGAAATGACGTCTTCAGTGACGAGCACAGGCTCAGGTGCCTTCCTGTCACGTGACACCTTCGTTACACTTCCGGTAACATCGCGACCATTGCAAGAATCATGAAATTTGCCCTCTGACCCAACATAGTGTGACATTTATATTTTGGGGAATTTAATTTACATATCTTATCCACAAGAATGGGCTCAAGTCCTAACAACTTACAGAGCCCTCTCCTAAAATAGATGATTAGCGTCAAATAATAACACATTTGAGTTATGTTAATCAAGAGAGAGTATTTATTAAATGAGAATTTGTGAATGCCATCAAAGGGAATTTGGAAAAGGTTTTACTATTTACTGTTTTACTATATCCCAGATGAACTTACGTTTTGCTCATTTAATCAGATTGCTGTCAATATGGAGGCTATCGGAGAGCAACCAACTTCCCCCTTACAGTCCAATATATGATAGATCAAGGGCGGATACAGCTTTTTAGAAAAGGGGGAGGGGGGGGGGGGGGGGGGGGGTGCACAATTAAGATCTTTTTATTGTCTTTGGTGGTAATTTATACAGAAATAAAGATTTTTTTCGAAATAAAAAGGGGGGGGGGGGGGTGCGCATCCCCCCCCACCCCACCCCCCCCCCCCCCACACACACACACATACACCTGTATCCGCCCATGCAGATGAAATAGGCATTCAAATTGACAAACAAAGAAAACAGAGTCATAATTAAGTGCGCCGTGAGAGTTGCTTCTTGTTCTGTTCTTTTAGAATGCATATTGCAAATGCACTGATACACGTTGGTTTTCTGGGTTACAGCTGGTCCCAGGAACGTATGCTTATCGTTGGCGACTAAATGGGTCGGGTGGACATGCTATCACATCTCAAATGCGTGGATCGATGCTCATGTCGTGCGTCACTGGATTGCTTGGTCCAAATTAGATTATTTGTAGACTGACGTAATATGGCTGGAATATTGCTAAATATTGTCGATATTGGATACATATGCAACGTCTTAACGCCATTCAAAGATCACGTACGCAAATAATATAAAGAAGAACGCAAGTTCTTAAGTTGCTGGAGTGAGTGAGTATGGTTTTAGCAATATTCCAGCAATATCACGGCGGTGGACACCACACTGTACCCATGTCGGGAATCGAAGCCGGGTCTTCGGCGTGACGAGCTGGGTCATCAGCTGTCGCCAACTCCTCGTTATAACGTACACGTGATCGTGACTCGTTTTCATAAGAAGGGAGAAATACCCGTGAGAAAACTCTGAACATGATTTGTCTTGTATCAGTTAAGTAAATAAAAGCAATTTCTCAGCTTAAAACTTTGGAAAAGACACAAGGACGTATCACGCGACTTCACGTGCACATTATTCCAACGCCGTTACAGAGATTAAGTTGACGAGAAAGATTTCTTGTCTTCGTGTTATAACAATTACCACCAAACAGATTTACTCATAGCTCAGCAGAATTCGCACTTACTAATACAGTTAACTTTAATTTCCGATTATTTTGATAACTGATTGCCTTTTGGTATGTGTAATAAAAGGGTTAGAAAACACTGTATACAATTCTGTTCAACAGTCTACCCGACTTAAGCATATGCTCCACACTTAGATAACCTACTGCTAGTTGCGGGAGCAGTGTGTTTATCAGGCCGACTCGAGGAGATTGCATTGATAAAGTCATGGAGTTCAAACTAAACTTGTACCCGTATGTACACGTTTCTAGGGCCGCTGGCTATTGCGTGAACTGCGCAGTTGAACAACAGTCGAGTACAGAGTACAAATCAGTCGAGGCAGTTTCGGGATTAATGATATATACTGCCTGAACAAGGGCTAACCTGATCCACTTGGCCTTGAAGGTGAGCGATTTTTCCAAGTTTCTTTGTTCTTTTATAAATGTTATGTTCCATACCACTAAATCAGGACGTCGCTAAAACAGCTGCAAATGCCAAGGTCACATTAATTCCAGTTACTGACACCACAAACAAGCGCATCTATACCCCGCCAACCTGAACCAATGAAGACAAAAGGAAATCCTGACAAATATTTTGCTAATTTGTAGATGCCCCGAACCTACAAGAAGAAGGGCGTATACAAGCAACATGATATTATAAAACTGGAAGCTGCCGTTTCTAAGTTATGGCAAAGCTGTTACCCTGTATGGCATCCCCAAATCTACTTTACGAGATCACGTTAAAGGGCGAGTAGAGTCTGGTGCCACCATTGGTAGAACCCCCGGCAATACCAGAAAAAAATGAAAATGAAATTGCGGACAACGTTTCCAAAGCTTCACTGTCGCATGTGATAGTTGAACACAAACAGACACAGACAGACATACACACCCACTGTTTAAAAATATTTTTCTATATATATATACAGTGACAGAGATTATATTCCGTATCGGTATATGTGTTAACACACGAGATATGGGAGGCGTGACCTGGTTTTGCGGCAGCTTGTTAAGAGACGGAATGCTTTGTTCTGTACGTTGTGGGGCTTTCCAGGTATTCTCGGTTGGCGAGCTATCTTTAGAGTCACGTAATCCCGACGGGACTTTCTCAACGCCTGTTATGTTGGGAGGAACTGTACACTTGTCACACATCGACAGGACACAGGTAAACACTTGATGATATTTATTGGCAACACTCGAAACGAACCGCGAAACCCAAGCGAGCCTCCCAAGACAGGCGAGCTACCGAGGGGAGCTAACTCTGCTTACATTAATACATGCCAAGCAAACTTGCATTGGCGTGACTGTCTTTTTTTTCTTCATGATAAAAGCTATCTAAACAAACCATAATGAAGGAAATAGGCGTGAAAAACAACTTGGTGAGTAAACAATGATGTAATAAAGATCCAATTTCTGGTTAACCATGAAACCAATTGGTAAGTAAACCATCATAGGGTAGACTGCCCTCTGGTCGATGGGGATTATTCTGCCCCTCACAATTAATAAACAAACACAATACTTCAAAAGTCCAAAACGTATTCATCAAATCGCTTTGGTCGTTGACGTTGACGCGATGGCCTTGAAGTTGAAGACGTCTGTATACCTGGGTCAAATAGGGGGTCAGATTGATCCGACGCAGAACTGATGTCGGTTGGGTGATTGTCATCAAACACGGCGTCCTTAAGCGGTGGCAGAGGAGGAGTAGATATTTCCAGAGGAATGTGCGGAGTCTCCGGTGTCTGGTGAAGTGTCTCAGGTGGCTCATCATCGATGTCGGATGTGTCCTCACTGTTCGCTTTATGCACACGTGTCTTGTTCCAAAGGGGGACTTTAAAACATTCTGAGAGCTTAACTCTGTATGAAGTGTTCCGCAGTTGGGTCCCAACGAACTTGAGGACATTGCACCAGAGGACATCTTTGGCGACTACTAGGTAACGATTCCGTGCACATGTTTTATTGCGATCGTTTTGAAGGTACACCAGGTCGCCAATCTCAATTTGATCAATAACAGGTCGATGACTCCGAGGAGCCTTGGATTTTTCACTGTGACCGTGTTTTTTTTGGTGATTAACATGTTGCTCTGTGATCAACTGCTTGTCGGACAGAGGCAACTGGCAGTTTGTCAATTGGTCTCTCTGGGTCCACATCTCTCGAGAAGACAGGCCTCGTGAACGAATGCGTGTGTTTAGGCGGGCGACAGCGATGGCAATAGCTGTTGGTGAAGTGGGGCCCCGTACAGGGTCTTGGCGCAAAAGCTCATCCTCTAATTCTTGTATGGCCTTTTCAGCAACTGGGTTCTTGTTCACATTCTTCACTCTGCCTATTTCTAGGGTAATTCTATGTTGCTGGAGACGTTCATCCGTGACTAGACTGATAAAGCCTGGAGCTAGGTCAGTGCGGATAACAGCGTGAGGACCATCAAGAGGACGGAATTCAATGCACAGACGAATCAATGCCTCACACAGGGTGGAGCCACGCTCATCGGTAATGATGCAGGCCGCAGTGTAGGATGTGACACATTCACGTAGAACGAGGATGAGTTGTCGTTCCCTGTGCATAACATCTGACGCAAAGGCAAACCCAACAGTTTCAGGTGGATCACTGGTGCTTTGGTCTTCAACAACATGAGGTGTCTTACGCAAGGAGGCGCACCGGTGACAAGATTTTGAGACACTGTTTATGGATCTGTCAAGGTCTAAAGCAAAGAAGTATCTATGGCATACTTGCTTGAGTTGGTGTGCAGATGGATGATCCAGTTGTATGTGTAGGGCAGTCAGGACTCCGTCTAATACTTGTCTTGGGACAACAATGCACTCTCTTGGTGAACCGAGTGGCTCAGATTATCGGACAACAAGCAATCCATCCTTGGAGATGGTTGCTGCATTTAGGTATCGTTTGACATCCCTGATGTTTGTTACCTTCTTGGATGGTCGGGTACCTTGGAGAAGATGAGCATGTGTTCGTCGAAGATCCTGGCACTCCTCTTGCAAGGAACGCCAAGCAGACCTGCTTGTGAAAGGAAGGCGGGTAGTTCCATTCATGATGTCCTCTATAGACAGTTGTCGAACAACAGAGATTTCTGTGCGCTCAATGAAGGAGCAGATTTGGCAAGAAGGATTGTCACATTCTGGTGCATTTCTGCTTGAAAAATCGGATGGCACATTTGCAGAACCAGCGAGGTGTTGTATTGTTGCTTGGTAGCGGCTAACTGTCGATAAGAAGGTAGACACCCGAGGACTAGCAGAGAACTCCCCACGGCATAACTTCTCAAATGCCAAAACACATGGTCTACTGTCGGTAAGGATACATGCTTTGTGTTTTGACTGGATAATGAAAGGACTTAAATGCTTGGTAGCAATAGCAATTGAAAGGGCTTCCACTTCACATGGTAACCATGCGACCTGTTGTCGCCGAAGCTTGGCACTGAAGAATCCCGCTAGTCATGGCGAGTCACTATGTGTTACATAAAGTGTTGCTCCAATTCCTGGCTTCCTAACAGCACCATCAGTTACAATCCAGAGTTGGTCATCGGGATGGGGCAGTACTATGGATTTGTTGGATGCGAGACCAGTCTGTGCTGTTTTGAAGGCATCGAGCAAAGAGTCAGACCACAGAAGCTTTTCACTGGACTGGCGACCGCCCACTTCAGCATCAAGTGGGGCAAGGAGTGTGGAACAATCAGCTATTACACGGGACAAGACCTCGTAAGCTCCTATAAATGACCGTAAGCCAGTCACTGTTTCCGGAGGTGAACAAGAAGCCAGAGTTGATATGCGGTGTTGACTTGCCTGAATGGATCCTTGGTGTCATTGCCATCCTAGGATGGTTGTTGTCCTGGGAGCAATGACTGTCTTGTTAGGAGATAATCTGAGATTGTTGTGTTTGAGCGCTTCAAGTACGCGTCTCCAATGACGAAGTAACTCATCTGGGTTATCAGCACCACAATAAAGGTCGTCAGCAAGCTTAGCAATCACCCCTTCCTCCTAAAGATCCCCTAGTATGCGGCACATGAGCTCCTCGAACGCAGTTTCAGAGCCCGGCATTCCCCTTGCAGACCTGGCATATACTCTCACACGACGGAACGGTGTCACTACACCGCAGTATTTCATCGATTGGACAGAGGAATCTGATAAAAGGCATTGGGTAAATCTGTGGTTATAATGTACTTCCACTTGGCAATCTGTCTTAGAGTAGAATCGACATCAGGCATGAGGGAGGGTTGTGGCTTACTGTATTGTCCTACATCAGAGAAGGCAGTCACCAATCTGTTACCACCACTGGACTTCTTGATTAGGAAAGAAGGATTGAGGTATTCTACTTGAATACCTGCATCTTCAGGTCGTACAAATACACCCATCCGCTCAAGTTCATCGAACTTTTGTTGGAGCTCAGAAAGTTTATCTCGTGAGTATTGCGGGACACGACCCTTCTGTTGTGGAGGTTGTACAGGTCCCATGTTAACAAATGCTTGAAAGGGGCCTGAAGCACCGTTATAGCCATCGATATGTTGGTTAAACACATCGTCGAACTCCGTAAGTAGTAACTCAAACTGAGATTTGGTATCTTGCGGGAGGATATTGTCTTGGTCTACACAAACAGTGGATGCGAAACCAATGTCCTTAATTTGAGGGGACATAGTAGGTGGTAGCAGATGTGCCGGCACAACATCATAATCAGGGTCGCAGTCAGGTATAAAAACTGGGCGAATCTGGCAAAAGTGCTCGTGTTTCTTGAGCATTTGCGGAGTGTCGGACAGATTCGGGATCCTGATTTTGCCTGAGACGCTTGAGATAATTCCTAATTCTGGCCAAGTGGATGACAAGGTAGAGCGTCCAGGTCTGGTATCTATGCGGGATTCTATGGCAAATGTGAAATCCGCAGGAGCAAAACTTTCAGGAACCGGCGTACTGCCACATCGTTGGCCTCCATAAATGGTATGCCTGCAATGACTTCTACATCCAGGTTTCCCACCACAAGACCATTAAAATCGAACTCCTTGTTGTCGCGTGTGAAAAGGATTCTTGTCTCTCCAACGACCTTCAGTGGGGAAGAGCCATCTGCCTGATGGGCTGACTGAAAACTAGTCTTGATGTCAGCACCGAAGCATGTTGCTGTTAAGAGGCGGATCATATTACCAGTAGCTCCACTATATACAGTGACTCGTGCCGTCTGGTGGCCACAGAAACAGTACATATAGGGCGACCGACGGACTTGCACACGAAGAGAGGAGACAGGTTCAGTAGATGGCACTGCACACACATTTTCAACTGTATCACTAGCATCGTCAGCAGGGTCATCAAGTATACTGGCAATTTGTCTTGCTTTGACCATGTATCTCCGGTCATTGTCTGGAAGGAACTTGCACTCGCTGAGATAATGAACATGATCGCTGCGTCCTGCAGCTTTACA